AGAAATGGTTTTTGTAGTACTGCTGCTCTTCAACATCCCCCGGTAGAAGGACATGGTGGGCCGGTCCACGGCCTCCAGGTACCTGGGAACCTGCTTGGGGTTCAGGTGGATGAGGACATCGTAAAGGTCCAAGGGAGGTCGGAAGGCCATCTGCAAGAGAGAAGCCATGGTGTTATGGTCAGCAGATAAGAATCACAGGGCTGGGCGGAACCTCAGAGGCCTTCTAGTCCAACCCTCCGCCCACTGGAGTACTGTTTGCTTCTTGATTGTGGGCCTGATGAGTAATCTTGGTGTTAATCTCTGTTTATCTGGGTTTTGACTGCTGGTGCTGGTCTTTTCTAAGTGACCATCCTAGACCAAGCCAAGTTCAAATACGCTAGAGCAGTGATGGCTATGCGCCCCACCCCATGCATGTGCGAGCGACCCCCCTCCCCCCCCCGCTCCTGGCACGCGATGGCCCAGTAGGCCCGTTTTTCTTTCTCACCTGGCTCCAGATCCTCTCTATGCATCTGGGGAGGGCGAAAACAGCCTTCCCCACCCCCTCAGAGGCCCTCCGGAGGCTCGAAACGGCCTGTTTTCCAACTTTCCGTTGGACAGGAAGTGACTTTTTTGCTGTCCCCAGCCTCTAGAGGCCTCCAAGGGGGTGGGGAAGGCTGTTTTCGCCCTCTCCAGATGCATAGAGAGGATCTGGAGCCAGGTGAGAAAGAAAAACGGGCCTTCCCCACTCCCCCAGGCCCTCTGGAGGCAGGAAACAGCCTATTTCCCTATTTCTGATGGGTCCAGAAGGCGCATGCCGGAGCTGAGCTGGTGTGCCAGGTGACATGGCTCTGTGTGCCACCTGTGGCATGTGTGCCATAGGTTCGCCATCACGGCGCTAAAGAATTCCTGGAAGCCTGGCACTCCGACAAATTGGCCATCAACAGACCCACAGACATAAACATCTACATGCTTCTGTGCAAAAGAGACAATCAACAAGCTGAAAAGGTAACAAACATATAACCCAATCAAGGAACTGTCAAACAAGCTAAAAGTAAACAGCCCGAACAAAGAACCTCCAAGACCACTCCCACCAACATTGACAGAGCGAGTATAAATTGAGTGCAAACCCCACTCCTTACTAGCACGTATGATGTTACCTAGTTGGGTCATGAAATGTTTGCAAGAGAACAACCAAGCTCAGAGAGCACCAATTGATGCTCAATTGATTGAGCATCAATCCTGAGCTACAAATATTCTCTTCTATCCTGTTGTGACCTAGGCTTACTGAGTCATTACAATACACAATTAGTCCCCAAAAAACCCATTTTATTGTAACAGCTGAGAATTACGTTCATTCCCAGCTCAGTCCCAATTAGTTGCAAAACAAGTCCTTCGGAAGAAGTCCTTCAGGATAATCACCAACCTTTATCTTCTTTGACACCCTGCCAAAGGCCTTACTTGGCAAAGCCCCATGAAGTTCAGAAACAAACAAGAGATGCCGACTGGAAACAGAGTTAGCAACGTTGCTTTCCTGCAAAAAGGCCCAAGTGCCTTTGTTTCTCTTTTAAGCCTTAAGGAAGGGGCCAATCATCTCTTGGCCTTCCTCCTGAGTCGTCCCTTTTGCTTTAGCTGCTCTTGCCTTTCGCAGTTCTGCGCATGCGTGCACTAGGAACAGGCTCCTCCTGTTCCTCTGCCTCTCTGCTGTCCGACTCTGGGGCTCCAGAGTCTGCGCGCATCACTCCCAGATGGCCCTGGCCCCATCCCTGCCTCCGACGCAGAGCCCTCGTCTGAGCCTTCCCCAGACTCCAGGACTGGTCCATGGTCCTCCCCAGCCTCCTCACTGTCTGACTCCGCTGTCAGCTCCGCAGGCTGCTGGTGGACCACAACATATCCAATCTGCTTGTAAATAAACAAGAGAGCAAACCCCATTCCCTTCTCCCACTGATGATGTTACCTAGTAAGGTCATGAAACATCTACAAGAAAACAACCAAACTCAGAGAGCACCGTGGACCCCCTAGTTCAACCCTGAGCTACAAAGACTCTCCTTTATATGAATATCCTAAGATTACAACAGCCAGATATTTAACTATGGCTATTAAAAAGAAAAGACTTGAGTTGGGGTTTTAAGTCGATTCCATAATACAGCTTATCTTCAGCTTATAACTGCAATGGAGACCAGAGCAAGACAGCTATTAAGTGAGTTTTGCTCCACTTTGTGACCTTTCTTGCCACAGTTGTTAAGTGAACCATGGCAGTTAGTCTAGTAACGCAGTTGTTAAGTGAATCTGGTTTCCCCCATTGACGTTGCTTGTCAGAAGGTCGCAAAATGGAATCACTTGACCCCCGGGGACACTGCAGCCGTCATAAATACAAGTCAGTCCTTTGTCAAGCATCACTGTGGGGATACTGCAATGGTCGTAAGTGTGAAAAACTGCAGTTCTAATGGTAGTCACACGACTGTTAAGTGAATCTGGTTTCCCCCTACTTTGCTCGTCAGGTCACAAAAGCGGATCCACGTGCCCCCAGGACATTGCAACCGTCATAAATACGAGTCAGCGTGCCAAGGCTCTGAATTTTGATCATGTGACCAAGGAGAGGCCACGACGGCCATAAGAGTGAAAAATGGTCACAAGTCACTTTTTTCCAAGGCTGCTGTAACTTTCATCGGTCACTAAATGAAACTGTTGTAAGTCGAGGAATATATATAGAGAGAGAGAGAGAAAAAAAAAAGGGAGGCACTGGAGCTAAATTTCACGTATGATTGCAAAGGGTCTGAATACTTATGCCGAATGTGATACTTCAGTTTTTTTTCTTTTTAATACATTCACAGACATTTCTAAAATTCTGTTTCCACTGTGTCGTTACGGAGTACTGAATGTAGATTAATGAGGGAGGGGGAAAAAATTGAATTATAACAACCGTAGAAATCAGGCTGCAAAATTACTAATCCCCCATATTTCCAAAGTTCACGGCCATAGACTTCAACCACGATCTTTTTCTCCTGCCAAATCCACTCTGGACGTTGATGGGATTTCAGAGGAACATACCATAAGAAACACAATGCAATGAAAACAACGTTATGCACCAGCCTTTAACAACAATAAGATTAAAAGTTGCAAGGCGTTATCAAAAGGGCCTGATCTGAAAGGCTTAAGGCTTAAGGCTTTAAATAAATATACATCTACCTGGTGCTGAAAGCACCTGCCCACAGCCACTGACAAACACAAGCTCTCTTGGGGATATGCCGCCATGTTCAGGGTCATCACTATATATATATATATTGAGATATATATATATATATATATATTCGGTTTTGTCCCGCGTAAAATTGGAAGTGTCTTGGCGACTGTTCGACGAAGTCTCATTCGTCGAAACGTCGCCAAGTACTTCCAATTTTACGCGGGAGAAAACCCGAATAACCAAAGACCTACATACAAATACCCGCGAAAACCTCAGAAAACAAATATATATGTATGTATGTATGTATGTATGTATGTATGTATGTATATAATCGTGGAATTCTATGGCTGGAAGGGGCCTTGGGGGGGTCTTCTAGTCCAACCCAGGGGTGAAATGCTCCCGGTTCAGACCAGATCGCCGATCCGGTAGCGATGAAGGCGGGTGGTTTGGAGAACCGGTAGCAAAAATCCCTGCCCCCCCCCCGCCCCATGCCCAGCTGAGCCGCGCAATCATCAGAGGCTTTTTTTTTTTTTACTTTTAAAAGCATTTTTTCTACAACCTCTTCGGCCAAAAAAATGCTTTTAAAAGTAAAAAAGAATAAAAAAGCCTCTGATGATCGGCAGCTCAGCTGGGATCGTCAGAGGCTTTTAAAAGCATTTTTCCTACAACCTCTTCAGAGGTTGTAGAAAAAATGCTTTTAAGAGCCTCTGACGATCCAAGCTGAGTTACCTGATCGTCAGAGCTTTTTTTTTCTTTTAAAAGCCTCTGACGATCCAAGCTGAGTTGCTTGATCGTCAGAGGCTTTTAAAAGAAAAAGAGCCTCTGCCGATCAGGCAACTCAGCTAGGATCAGTCACATTACCCCCCATCACCAAGCCACACCCACAGAACCGGTAGTAACAAATTTTAGATTTCACCAGTGGTCCAACCCCCCCCTACCCAAGGTAGGAGACCCTATACAATCCTGGTCAAATGGCTTTCCAATCTCTTTTAATAGAATCACAGAGTTGGAAGGGACCTTGGAGGTCTTCTAGTCCAACCCCTGCTCAAGCAGGAGACTCTATATCAGGGGTCTGCAACCTAAACACTCAAAGAGCCATTTGGACCCATTTCCCACAGAAAAGAAAACACCGGGAGCCACAAAACCCTTCCTGTGCCTGACTATTTCCTGAGCAGCCACAAAACTAGCAGATGTAGTTGAATTCAACGTTCTGTTTTCTTCTGAAACTTTTCTTCTTGTCTTGGATTTATCCATGGCTGGTGTTCTGGGGGTTGAAAGCTCAATAAATCATGTGCCGGTGGTGTCGTACATTGGTGGTGGTGATGCATATTTTGAGTGACAAGGAGCCGCAGCAGAGGGGTGAAATAATAATAATAATAATAATAAAAAATAATAACAATAATAATAACAATAATAATAATAATAATAATAATAATAATAATAATAATAATAATAATAATAATAATAATTTTATTTCTATACCGCCCTTCTCCCGAAGGACTCAGGGCGGTGTACAGCCAATTTAAAAACACAAGACACAACAATGATTAAAATTTAAAAAGAGCCACATGCGGCTCCAGAGCCACAGGTTGCTGACCCCCTGCCCTATACTATATCACACAAATAGTTGTCCAATCTCTTCTTGAAAACCTCCAGGGATGGAGCAGCCACAACTTCTGGAGGCAAGCTGTTCCACTGGTGAATTGTTTTCACTGTCAGGAAATTTCTCCTTAGTTCTGCATTGCTTCTCTCCTTGATTAGTTTCCACCCGTTGCTTCTTCTGCCGTCAGGTGCTTTGGAGAATAGGATGACCCCACCCTCTTCTTTAACACAATAAGGAGTTGGAAGGGACCTTGAAGGTCTTCTAGTCCAACCCCCTGCTCAGGCAGGAAACATATACCATTTTAGACAAATAGTTGTCTATTCTCTTCTTAAAAACTTCCAATGATGGAGCACTTCAACTTCTGGAGGAAAGCCCATTCTACTGATT